TGTCCGGCCTGTGCCGCGCTCTCCGGCCCGCCCGCTTCCCGGCTGGGAGTCCAGGCCGGCCCGCGCTCTCCGGGGATTGTCACGGAGGCCTCGCGCGCGAAAATTCTTCACAAGATGAAGTCTGGAGAGGGAGGAGGTGGGGGGTGGGCACAGAACTCCAAAATGGATGTTGGAGTAATTCGGATCAGGGCTTCAACTCATTCGGGGCCAGCGCTACCTTTGCAGGCACAGCCCGTCGGCCATCGATGATAGTATCGCCTACAGAGAGAGGCCGTGGCTCTCATTTGTGGAGTTTTTGAGTCTTGGGCGGTTTTGCTGGAGTTCCCAGATCTTGGTTAATGTAGGCCATAGATCATTTGGAGAGCTTGTTCTTTTATACGAAGTTCTTTTATTACAGTTTTTTTTTTTTTATAACCTGCCCATTCACAATTGTTGGCTTTTTCAGACTGCTATAACTTAGCACTAGTTTTCCTGAGTAGGGTTAAGTAAAACAGTTGGAGGCAGTGGAAAGTTAGAAGTTAGATAGTAATATTTCAGCCTTTGAAATTGGCTAGAAAATAGGTCTTAGGACAAAAAGTAGATGAAAGTCGTTTTGTTTGTTTGCATGTTAGTGCACGCCATACTTAGAGTTGAATTTGGAAAAATTTTATGACTAGTCTGATAAGGATGTATTGGGAGTCTTTTGGAAATTTTAGAATGCCTAGGGCATGGAGAGGAGCTGGAAGTCTTATGTGAAGACTCACTATAAAATTAGGTGCTGTAGTCAATGTGAACTTTACATTTGTGTGGATCTCACGTTGCTGCTCTTTTAGCCTACTGTAAAAAATGTGTTCACCTATTAAGGTAGTTCAAACACTTCTCAAGACTAATCTTTTAGAAGTGGGTTATAGGAATCGATTTATGTAGTGGCAGTTTGAATTGTCACTTAGAAAATTTGCTGTTTCATAGGAAGTATGATTAGGCATTCAGTTAATTGTTACACTATATTATTAGTAAATAGATAATTTCTTAAATTTTTAATGTCTTGTGTTTTTAAAAGTAGATTAAAACATAAAAAGCTGTTTCAGAAATTGTTTTTAAATAAATAAAGGTGGATTAGTAAACTTTTAAAATAAGTTATATTCCCCCAGTCCCAAAATGCCAGAATAAATTTATGAGTTACTTTAGTTTGCTACTGAAGAAGTAAAATTGAAAAACAAACTTTAATATTTTAACTACAGCAAGATTTCTCTTGTAACTCTACCAAAGTTTAGAAATGCCCTCACAGGTGGGGGAGGGGTATGGTGACAAGGTTAGGGATTAAAAACATACTTTAGTCTCATTCAGGATTAGTATACTGACTCCATCCATCACTGTGTGTGTGATGCTTCCATGCTTCTTTAAGATTCTCTGACCTCTCAGATCATTGCCAGGGACACACTTCCTGTCAGATGACATGAACAATCTGAGCTCATTAACAGTTAGAATATGAAAATGCAGTTTGGCCAGAGGACCCCCAGACTTGGCATTTCTTTGGTGCATGGGTGTTTGGTATTTGATAAATCTCAGAGTTCTTTTCAATTTCTCACTTTGAGCAAAGTTGAAATAAACTGAGCTGAAAGTTTGAATAAGGTGAAAAGCATGAGCTGTCTGTGTGTTTTTGTCTAAACATTAATGGAAAACCAAAGTTAATTTCCAGTTTAAAAGTGATTCAGAATTTTTTCGGAACATTTCAGAAAATAAACTAAAGTGAATTCATTGGGATATTTTCAACATTTAAAACTATACTGAGATAAATATATCTTAAGTACTCTCAAATTACTGGAGATCACTGGAGTACTGTAGTGTCTTGAAAGTTGTGTTAAAAAAGTTGTGAAATATTTTTAAGTTTATAACAAAATTGGAAATACCAAATCCGAGTTAACTTAAACCCTTCACCCAGCTTTCCCCAGTGCTTCCATTATTGTGGCACATTTTTCAGATCTGTGAAATCATTAACTGAGGCAGCTGCAGATTTCATTTGAGTTTTGCCAGTTTTCCCATTATTGTCCATTTTCTGATTTGGATTCTAGTCCAAGATATCTAACCAATGTTGTGTCTAAAGTCAAGTGCAGGTGTTCAACCTAATGCCAGCTTAGCTTGATATTTCAAGATGAAAAGTACCTGAAAAGCCAGTGTTCACTTAAGACTTGTTTTAAAGAGGATCCTGGCCAAGGGTGTTTGTGAAAGGCTAAAAAGTCAGTCACAGTAGTTCCACCTCTAATGTCTTGTGACATGGACTTCCAAAGATGGTAAAGCAGTCTTCCTTTGGGAAACATGTGATCTCTGCATAGGTTAACTAACTTGTCCAAGTTACACGCATGAACTTGAATATTTCATTTGTACTTTAGTGAAATAAACTATACAAGCAAATTTTATGAAAATCACTGGTTTAAGTTATAAATTTAGTGTTCATTAGTTTTGCAGGTAAATACTGGCACATTTAAAAGGTGAATACTATTAAATAGTAATAAAGGAGAAGGCTATTTTGCCATGAAGACCTGCAGGGCTAGGATTTAGCTTAGGGACACTTCTTGCCTAGTGTTTGCAAAGCCTTGCCTGCCTTTTCTCCCCCCCACAAGTGGGGGTGGGGAAGACTCTACAGTGTCGTCATTGAAGTCTGAGTTGTAATTGAAATTTGACTTGTACCTGCCCAAGAATGTTGTGTTTTACTCCACCTTAGTTTCACATTTGTTCTGGTTTTCAGTTACAGCTTTCCTTCTGGCTTTTATAAAGCCATTTATGGGGTCTGAGAAGTCAATTGTTCTTTCAAAATGCATTGGGAATTTCTTTTCCTTTTCCACTGGTACAATCTAAGAAGTCAGATCCTGTTTTTCCCCTTTCCTTCACTCTTCACCCTGTCATTTTTACGTCTAGTTGCACTGGAGAATGCCCTTGTCGGGGATTGCTAGAGCAACGTCATTGGGAGTGCCACAGCCACCCAGGGCTTCTGTAGGTTATGGTCCTTCACCTTGTTATGTGTGGAAACACACACTTTCTACAATGCCACAACTTTTTACAGTGCCAACTTTGACATTAGATGTTTTCTTTGTTCATTTTCTAGTTAGAATATTAGAGTGACTGAGAAAATTCTGACTTAATTTTATTCAGAAACTTAGAGAGGGTTATCTGACACCTAACCCAACCCAAGCTCTTCATTGGATTGTTGTAGTATTGCTTCCCTTTGTTTCTGTAGAAATTCCACTTAGTGTCTTTTGTATTAGATGACTTTCTAATTATTATTTTTCCATTTCTATTTAGTGTACTTGATCATCTTCATTGGTATGTTGATGGAATTTGTGTGAAGGAAAGGCTTCAGGCTTTCTAGTAGTTTCTGAGCTATCTAGAACTTGCTTGTGGAATTACATAAATGGGTTTTAAATTGGCGTATAGTTTCTTAGGCACTAATATCTCAAAGTTAGTTTTACTGATAATTTCTTTCATTCTATATATACTTTCTATAATTTTCTTGAGTGATTTGAAACTAATACATTTATTCAGAAAGTATATATTGATCTTACTTTGTTTCAGGTATCTAATGGATGTTTTTAATTCTGATATCATAGTATCATTTAATAATTAATGATAACTTGGAATTACATAATGCTTTGCGCGCGTGTACACACACACACACACACACACACACACACACACACACACACACACAGTTTGTTTTCCTTTTCCTTTTTTTCAGACAGTCTTTATATATATATAGCCCAGGTAGGCTTCAAACTTGAGATTCTCCTGCCAAGTGTTTGGTTTATAGGTATAAGCCATGGTACCTAGCCTTAAATACTTTTTT